TTACGAACTTTCATAAGCGTAGTGTGGGGTTATTTTCTAGAGAAGCAAGTCCATTTGAGAAGTAAATAAAGTAATTTCCCTTTAACTTAGGGTCATACTTTACGAAAACCTTTTCGTCTCTGAGATGACAGGTAAGAGGATGGGAAGAACAGTTGAGCATCTATGAAGGACCTTGTAAGAGGTCCTCATAGACTTGAAATCGAACCAAATAGTTATCGATTTACGTCCGAAGCAGATATACAATATAGAAACACAGAAAATCAATAGAAAATGATTTATCGAAGGCATCGAATCGTTGAATGGCAAATGATAATAAATTAAAAGTCTCCAATACTAATGAACAAAATAAATTGGAAAAAAAATCGCTACACTCTATGTGTGAGGAGTCGCTGAACGAGAATGTTAGGCACAAATGAAAGTGACGAGATTGTATAGGTGAAACAATACTGGCAAATGGAGGTCATAGAGACCTTAGTTAAGGGCGGCGACTATCGACCAAACACTTTTTGCTTTAGAGTGTTGAATTCTGGGCAACAAAACACAAGATGCCAAAGTAGTTTAAATTAGCACCGAATGAGAAGGGAATTCACATTGTATATCACAATTCTCAGTGGGACATGTATTAAATGTGGCTTAATTGCAGAAATGCAAGAGAAATACTTTGAGTATTCAATAAATAGTGGACTTTTTTTGTAGAACAAAGAGTAGAGAAAAAAATGCGAAGAGAGAAATACACAGAAACGATCACAACTATATAAAGAAGATGAAGAGGAGGAGGATGGTCAAGGTCTGATCTTATAACCTCTCGTACTATTGTTCACTCTTTTTTTCCTGTAAACTCTGAGATGCCACGCTTCTTCAAAGAATGTAAAGAAAAGCTTTTCATATTATAGACATTCTGGAAAATTGGAGCTACAGGTTAAAAAATGGCAAATGTTCAGCATTCTAAAGCTCTAAATTGTGAATGCAGAAGAGGAAGAGGATAATCACAACCATAACAATTGAATTTCTACTGCATTGTTGTAGTAATCTGCTTGTAAATTCACTTTTCCTGAAAATCTCCTTAATTTTCTAAGGATCCAAGACCTTAACCATCCATTAAGTAAATTTATCTCTAGCTGACTTCGAATGAAGTAGTAAAATTGGTTTATAAATTGCCTAATTCCAAATTGTGATGATTCAGGGAGAAAATGCGAGTTAACCCGAAGCTTGGCGGCTCCATATTTTGATACATCTATGAACTACATCAACACGCATTTCTGCTTTCCTTTCTTTTTCTTTGCCTTTGTTCGATTTGGTGACACACCGTTGCTATTCTGGAATGAAATATCACAATTAATCCAAACTATAAAGTTAAAAGGTGGGAGAAAAGGGAAATAGACATCGGGATAGGTAATTGCAGAAAAGATCCAACCTCTTCATCATCCTCGTCTGAAGGAAAGCTCTTTACAATTCGTACTAATTCATGGAATGCGTTGTCCACATTGACTGGTGGGTCCTGAAAGTTGTAAGTGGGTTTTTGACTTCGTTTAACCTCCAAACTTCCGACCTTAGCCGAAGTCTCAATATAAGGCAATTTGAGGCTTGCAGCCAAACTGCGGCCTTCGGCTTCTGTCACCACTCGTTGATTGGTGAGATCAATCTGAAATTTGAAGAGGTGTAATAAATAAAATGGTGGTTAACAGTGCTTTGCGTAAACAATATTGAAGAGATAATATTTTGAGGCACTTAGTGTTAAAATGATGCATCACGTTTCCCTATGATATAAAAAGGTCCAACTTCAAGAGAATAAAATCATATTGTTTGAGAACAAGATTAATTTACACTCCGAGCTTAAAAAATTAACCCTTACTTTATTGGCGACGAGCAAAACTGGGTACTCAGCCCTATCCTTGACGCGCAGCACCTGCCTGTACAATTTCACGGCCTCGTCTAAGCTCTTCCGCTCCGTTACGGAATAAACTAACAAGAATCCCCGACCATTTCGCATATATTGCTCTCGCATCGCTGAGAACTCCTCTTGACCGGCTGTATCCAGCACTGGAACAAACCTACATGTAAAACCTATTCATGACAGGATTAAAAAAGGTCATAATGTTCTTACCATCCATGATTACCCAGTTCCCATCAACCTCACAATGTTGAATGTACTGATCCTCAATCGTTGGATCATAGTAATCCAGAAATTGTTTCTGGAAGAATTCCGTCTCAAAGACAACAATAATACTACAAAAGCTGTTACTAATTGCCGGTTTCAACGATCTGATGAGACGACACTTAACAAATGAAGTCTCAATGCTCAAAAAATGGAAGATAAAAAAGCCATTGGGAATGACAGTAAATAAGTTTAGAAGTAAGTTTTTTTTTGTAACACTACTACATCCTATGTCATTGTTCGGAATTTGAGCTATCTATGAAGATCATCTACAGGAATGTGCTATGCACTCTACGAAAATTGGATAAAAAACCTCACATCCTAAGTTCCTCAATAATTAAATCTATCACAATCATAGAATGCATAAGTTTGCCTTTTGGAGTTAATATGGTTTCTAAAATACATAACATTCGGTTAAATTGGTGAAAAAGATCGGATAATGCAAAGGACTTCCGAACGCATAAGAAAACCTCAAGCACGGTAGAATTAGTGCTAACCAAGGATTGATAGCCCAAGACTGTTTCAAACTACGGCCATTAAAACATATGAAAAAAAAACTTCATAAATCATGAAGAAGAATAAAATTAATGTTGTGACAAAAATTTCTGAGAAAGCTTGGAGCATAATTCCAACTAAACAACAGTAGCTTATAATATTGTAACAAAATCATCTTGTCTATCACTCATGTCTTCAATGATAGCGGTCTATAAGGAAAATAGATATGGAAAATTGGCATTGCAATCGCTAAAGGTGAGTGCATAGAAAAAAGTAAATCTATCAAACTCGGTAAGAATGAAGAACTGACGAACATGAGATAGTAAAAGTGAATGCAGGCGGATTCCACCATAACCCTATATGAAAGGCCTATGCAATAGCTT